AACTAAACGTAACTACGTACTAACGTAATACTTACGTTACTAGTAGTAGAGTAGAGTAGTAGTAGTAGTTAGAGAGAGAAGTAGTAGTAGTAGTAGAGAGTAGTAGTAGTAGTAGTAGTAAGTAAGAGAGAGATTTAGAGAGAGAGAGAGAGGATGATGTGAGAGAGAGATATAGAGTTTGAAAAAAAATGATGATGTGAGAGAGAGATAGAGTCAATTCATAAGTTGTTGAGGTCAATCATACATGATCAAATGGGTTTAGGGGGTTGAAAGATAGAAAAGATAGAGTCATTTTGCTTACAAATAATATTTTCAATTATTGAGCCTCATAGGATATAGAAGTTAAAAATAGGGGATAATAGGATATTTTTCCCTTCAAAGTTCTATTTTCAATAATGTGGGATGGTAAATATAATAAAGTGTTAAAAAATGCTCAATAGAGAGCTTTGAATAAAAAATATTGCAGAAGATATTTTTCTAAATATAGACCATTTACATTTGATAAAAGGAAGTCACAATTATTTATAACCATATGTTCTGAAATCTGATAGCTTATGTGTATCACAAAATTCGAAAATTTTTATTTTGAAGCTTGTTCATTGGAATAAATGTAGCCATCCAATTTGACATTCAATGATCAAGATGAATTATGATCACCTTGTATTAAAGATAAATAGTCACATTGTATACTTTTCTTTCAAGTAGTGGTATAGTGCTATGAAAATCAATAAAGATTTTGCCAATATTAAAAACATGTCGTCCGTATTTCAGAAATTTAATTTTTAATTTAAAAGTAGATTTCAAAGTTGCTGCCCCTATTCAGGATTAGAAACCTAGTAAGAAAATTGAGATTTTCAACGGCTATTGGCAACTTTTAAGCATTTATTAAAAATTGAACAACAAAATCAACGAATTCGATCTTTTCCCCTCCGTTATTTTGGTTTTTGACCACCAGAGTGATTTTGTACCCGGTTCATGATTTTGTAATGGCATTTAACCCTTCGATGTTTTGCTGCAAAACAAGGATCGAGCAATTCCAAGTTTCTTGAGAACCGTATCACCCACCCACTGCTTCCAATCCGAATCAGTCATCCAGATCAGTCGATTTGATCAACCACTCACTAGTTCCGATCTGGATCACACAATTTAATCCACTTTCGCGGACACTTTTTGAAAGGAAAACATGTCAATAACTTAATAACATGTTTAACGATGCTCCCAATCTGAGTTATAAAAACTAATCTTTTTATTATGCAATTAAATGGAAAACTTGTGCATCAACACTCGTTTTTTTATCAAATGTGCATTCAATGTTATCCCTTAGTTGATTAACATCCTAGTTTTTTCTTGATTTTTCATGTTGATCATTTTTTTCCTAATTTTGATTATTATTATTTTTAATTTCATAATTTGCTATTTTGATAGTAGGATTCTAAGATGTTCGGTTGACAGTTATAACAGCAAGATATTGAGTTTTTCTATTTCGTAGGATTAAACTTGTAATGAGATGTGTTTCTAAAAATAAAAATTGTATCTCTAAATAATCCCTATGAATGAGACCTATTTTTCTTTTGTCGTTTTGGGCACTAGTGATCTATTGCTGACCGGTGATTATGGGACCTATTTTTCTTTTGTCGTTTTGGGTATCTTCTCGCGTGGTGAGTGTGGTCCTTTGTGGCTACCATGATTGCCCTGGGATTGGTGCTCTCAGAAAAGGGCACTGAGCTCCTTATCCGCAAGCACCCTTTCCAGGTTAGATCAAGAAGGTTGTTGAAGGTGGATGTGGGTCTTTCTCCCTCTCTTTAAGATGCCTTTCATTGGCTGTCATTTTCTTTGCAAGGGCTTTTGGTATGCAAATTGTTTATTAGCTCTTGGTTTGCAAGTGTGGCATTGTTTCTTGGTGTTGTGGGTACTTTTCTATCGAAATGTTTTCTGGTCCAATGTTTGTAAGATTATTTGGTTTTTGAAGGAATTGCGATTGTGAGCATTGAATTCACAACACGTTTTTGCAAGGTTGTCGCTCACTAATTCTGATCATTATTGTGAGCATCCAATAAAAACCACACCCACTATACAAACCACACTTTATGCATGCCACCTCCATTGGCATTATTGGATGAGAATAGATATTATTTTGGTTGAACATCCCGGCGAGCTTAATTACCCAAACCAATAGTCCCAAAAACCGTAAATCTGACTCTAAATCACCCAACCCAGTCCAGTATCAGAAGGTGGGCTAAACCCCTTCAAGTTTTCATTTTTATTTTCTCAAGAGTCAACCTAACCAACCCAGGTGATTAACTAGTCGAACCAGGTAAACCAGAATCACACTTTCACACTCAAATCAAAATTTTTAATATTAGTTCAAACAAGCAGATTTACCATTAAATGGGGCCGATAAGCAGTTGGGGTTAAAAGTGACAATGGACCCAACCAGACCTGAGACTCGAAAGGTAAACCTGAACTCGCGTTCGAGTATGGCTCCAAATTTTGGACCCAAAAAGTCTTGACCGGGTTATTAAACCCGGACCCGAATACTTTTCAATACCGGATCCGGGTCCCACCAGACCCAACCCATTACCACCGCTAGTTGGGGTACTGGCAGGAGGAAGGGCAAAAGCCACACAAAATCACCTATGGACTAACTTCCAAATAATAAATCATTGGAATTATTTTTAGGAGTTAGTAGAAAGTATGTTATGATAAGAATGAGGGATAACCTAAATTAAAGTCTTGATGATCCTATGTTAGACGTGAGGGAGTCCTAGTTCATATAGCATTATGATAAACCACCTTATCCTTTCAGTGTGTGATAAATGTGTGTGTACATGATATGAGAAGACTCAAAAATAAAATAAAAATAAAAACAAAAACTCGGGACCACAGAGAGCGTAAGAGGCAGGGTAAGAACCGAGAGAGAGACCCGCAAAATCACATACACGTCTGACGTCTGATTTTGTACTCTTTTTAAGATTTTTGTTCTAATAATTTTAATCCCTAAATTCTGGGTGCGGTTTCCCGTGCACAACTCTAAGCAAATATAAAAACGGATTCATGACTTGGGTCAAGCACCCAGGTCTGGATCATAAAATAGTCTGTCCAGATCAACATTTTATTGTGCAACAAAAAAATAATGAACCGGCATAGAGTGTGAAAACCAACGAACCAGTTAAAAACTCAATACGGATCAATAACTCGGCATTCCAAATCAGTGGATGGAACATATAAATCAAAGTTTTACGTCATTTTACCGTTTGAACTGGCCGGTTCGGTTCCCTTTTAAGAGACTGGCCGGTTCCGATTCCCTTCTAAAGAGTAAGGGGGAATCGGGGAAAGAGAGCAAAGGGAGATTGGGGAAGGCCCACATAATAAAACGAACTAAAAACACTTAAATTTACATAGAGACTAGACTTTACATATATCCGTCTGCAGTCCACAGACAGTCTACATACTGTAGAAAACCAAACTATCTCAAAGCTTTCCCACGGAGAGGAGAGAAACGAGATAACACTAAGGACAACAAAGCAACCTCATACTTAATTTGGTTCCCCGTGACACGTGTGAAACATCACACGTTCAGGCCGTATGACGACATGTCTCTGACTCGCACGTGCAACCGGGACCACACGTGCACGTAAGTTCATCCGTGCCAGAGACCTCTGTTTTCGCGCACTCGCAAGGGTTGCACCCACAGTGGTCCCCGCACTTGCAGTACACGTGTTGAATCGGAATTGTTCTGATTCTAGTAGCACACCTACAAAAACAGAAACAACGGCCGTTATACTAGGTCCGATGTTCATAACGGCCATGATCAAATAGTTGACAGCTCCTAATACGAGCCATAAGTATCGCAAACCATAAACTATAAATAAAATAAACAAAGAAGGAACAAAAAATAAACAAAACACACAATAAGAACTCATAAATGAGAGAAAAAAAATAAGGAAAAGGAAGAAGTTTATCTTGGAAACGGATAATGCAAGGGCGACAACAGGTCAAGACCCGTACCTGGACCCAAGGTCGGGTCTACACTTCAGGACTTGAATTGTGGTTGGGTGCGTTGCCACCATATGTGAGCTTTCTTTTCTTTTTTTTTTCTTTTTTTTTTTTTTTTTTAATAAATAAAAAATTGTAAGATGCACTATTTTTTAAACTTAAAAATCTTTTTTTTTTTTTTCATATTCATATATCGGGTTTTTTCAACATTAAAACAACCTTTTATTAAAACAAAAACCATCATTTTCAAAAGATTTTTGAGGTGTATATGTAGTTCTACATTTTAAAGTTGCAAACCTTATGTAAACTTATTTTTTTAAAAAAATGAATACAAGTAGGTGTTTCATGTGGTAGGTTAGATAAGTTTGACGCCCACATTCCTCACTGTGTTTTACGTAGTAAGTAGCACTTCCTATTTCTTTAATAACTAAAAGTTCTTAAAAACCAAACGTGTAAACAACATTTATAAATATACACATACAAGTTATGTCCGGGGTCGGGTCGGACCCAGACCCAACCCCAAATAATATTCAAGTTTAAGTTTTAAACCCAAACCTGACCTTTCAAATCTAAAATTTAGATCCATACCCAAATCTAAGTCGGATCTACCGGTTCGATCCTGGGTTCGGTCGGATATTTTGTCATTCCTAAAATAATGAAAGAAAGAAAAGAGGAACCTGCAGGAATGAGGAGCAGGGCATGGATATGGGCACCCGCACGTCTGGTTACAACCCGCTGCTTCTCCTTTACCACTCATTTTCTCTCACTTGTTTCTCTCTCTAATCCTTCACACCTTCTGCCTTCGCCTGGGCCTGGGCCTGGGCCTTTCTATTAGAAGGGAGACCAGCATTTAAAGGGCTCGCTCATCACCAAACTACTCTTGCCACATACGTCTTTACGTGCCTTTTTTTAGTAAGACTATGCGACACGTGTGAAGTCAGATGTAAAAGAAGATCAAAGAAAGACAAATAACAACTTATCCTCCTATCTCATCTTCGGCTTTCCAATCCGGTTCTTTAAGCTCAATTTTTTTTTTTATTATTGAGAAATTTTTTTGCAAAATTCTATGCATTTGAGCAAAAAACTTGGTCTTTTTTCCAAGTTTGTAAACCGAAAACCATGTAAGCCAGGTCCATGCTCGATCTTGGCCCGAATAGAAGGCTTCGGGCACCACGGTCTGAATTCAAGGTCCCAATTCAAAAAAGAGGACCGGGCCTGCAGGCCTTATATAAATGTAGGGATAATTTTTCAAGGCTGAGTCCAGGCACGCCTGACCGGGCTCAAAAATTCAGCAGGCCAACCAAGTCGGATGGGATTTGACCAGCTCTGGCCTTAGTTTTTGGCCCAAACCCGGCAAGAAATGGGACCGGCCTAACCACTAGACTGTCTTATTTAGAGAAGCGAAAAACTTATCACACCTTATAGCCCTATCGTATTCTTTCTCTTATTAAATGGTATTTTTGCCACTAAAAATAAACTTTTTTAGTGGAGGCTTTTAAAAAGGTTTTGATAGAGAGAGAAATGTGTGGGTGAGTGAGGGAAAAAAGCCACTTGTAGAGAGAGAGCTTGGGATGAAAATGAAGGGTTTTGCAACAAAACCCTAGCACCACCATTTGGGGCATATCTTGGGCCGTTTTTATCGTCATTTCTTGGTGGCATCCGTGAGTCGAAAAAATGAGTCAATTGTAGGTGGTTTTATGATAAGAAGTTCTTTTATTTGAGCTTTTATTGACATTGTATGAAGTAACTCTACATAAACCCAATCTTGTAATTTTTTCCTCTTGATAGTAAATACATCTTTGTCGTGTTGCCCATGGACGTAACCCATCTTGGATGAACTATGTATATGCATGTGTCCCTCTACTTTTATTTGTGTTGTGCTTTGATGATTTTTCATATTGTTTGTTTTATTGTTTTTATATTTTTCACAATTATATTGCACTTGTTATTACATCTTGAACTTGTTATTTGAGTGTTAAAATCATTGTGGTGTAGTACTCACTATATCTAGTAGGACTTGAGATATCCCGATTTGCTCAAAAGGGGTGATTGGCTTATCATGATTTTACAACATGCACAAGGTTCCAAAGGTGGATCTTAAAAACCTAGACGAAAAGGTTGTTTGGACCTTGGGAAACGTTGTAATTGATCGTCTTGATTTATAGATAGATGGATATGAAAATAAAGAATACTTCAAGTCCCATAGAAAAAATATTTTAAGTTCTAAAATAATGCATCTTATAATAAGCAATTTTAAGGCTTTAAATTTCATAATCGAAGGTGAAAAAAATTTAAAGATGTCTCATTTTCATAATTTAAAATTGACACCTTGTATATGACACATACAAGACTCGACCATTAAACATTCTTCTCATTCTTAGGCCTTATATGTATTTAATTTGGGTGAAGTTTCTATAAAACCTAAGTTTTATGAAAACAAAATAAAACGTCACCTCAAATCCTCACCCAAAGAGCACTTTTGGCACTGGAAATTTCCATGATGGCTTTAAAACTAATTCCAATTCAAACACTGACAATAATATTTAAACCTCAAAAACATATACAGATCTTGCGAATCTGTGAACACTTATTTATAAGACGAAATAGACGGTCTAGATAATTTGTTATAATATACACTTTGCTAGAAGTTGAAATCCATTTTTTTGTTTTTTTACAACCATAATGTTCAGGCTGTGATGATGGATGTAAAGGTTTTTCAAATACTGAGAACTGCAGTTTTAGATAAATTATAAAGCAAGGCCTTACTTATTTTGATAGTGTTGCATCAAACCATTTCCCTTTAATTTTTGTTTTGTAGTTTCATTTTTGTCCATGTCATATACTTCCGTTTGTACTTATCTTCTTTCTTTTTTTTTTAGATTTTCGTCTGCAAATAAGTGCTTTTGCCTGGGTAGTAAGGAGCTTTATTCAACTCTCCCTTGTGACCTTCTTCTGCCAACAATTTTGGTAGATTCAATTTCTTTATTCAACTATTAATGACACCATAATGACATCTATTACCGTCCACTTGTTGATACAATGGTGATGACACTTATGACCATATCTTTCCTATGGCTATTTAGTCCATTCAAAGCACAAACTAGACCAATAGATTCTTTCCCATTTATGTAACTCTTGAATATATACTCATTTACACCATTATAAATAGCTGTCAAAATGATATGGTTGAAAGTAGTAAGAAAAGATGCTGGGATTTGTAGTATCACTAAGAATATAGCCCTTAATAAAGCATATTGATGGATTAAAATTCATATAGTCGAGCTCAATTAATTGGGAAAAAGCTTTGACGATGATGAAATAGCTACACAATTGAGCAAGAAAATAGAGGTGTTCTACCTATCTTTATTCTATGGTGGGTGTAATTAACAAAGTGTCTATGGGTACTCAAGGATTGTATTACTGAAATTAGAAATCAAATGCATTCGGGCCTGAAAATTAAGTTCCAGGATGTTCTTCTATGGAAATGAGGTATCTACTATGATTGATGCCCAAACTAGGGGAAATATATTCCTACCATTGATTATACCTCATTTTTGGGAAGGAAAAAATTTATATAAGGGTGAGGCCCTAAATAATCAAATTAAGACGCACTTCAAAAATTCACCACAAGGGGTTGTTTCGATGCCCAAAAATCCTCAAATCGTTTATCTAGACCTCAAGATGTATGGGCACGAGAAAAAATAGATTTCAATTCTTGGAAATAGTGCATCTTGCAATGCATTTTTTGGACGGATTTTTAAGTGTTCATAAATCTACTCAATCTATACTATTTTTGAAACTTAAATGTTATAATTAGAGATAAAAATAAAAGTAAATTTTCAGACCATGACAAAGATTTTCAGTACTAAAAAGTATCTTTTGACAATTTGAAGATGTACCTTATTTTGATTGTTTAAGGCCTCAGCCTTATACAAACAATACCCTTTTGGGAAAAGGATCGTCCAACTAAATAAAAAAAAAAAATGAATTTTCTTCACCCCAATCATCCCTCTCTTCTACAACCCCATGCCCTCTCTCCCCCACAAACCCTTAATCATGTCTCTCCTTGGAAATTTCAAGAAGCCAAAGGGACTCTTAGTCTCTTGCAAACAATATTTCTAACTGCTGTAGGTCCTCAGGAGTACTGACGATATGAACTCTCCACAATTTAGTGAAGCTAAGTCAATTGAAAACTATACTTTACTCAGGGCAATGGGTATGTTTTTTTTAAGTATCTTGCACTAAGGGTTTATCGATATATTGTGGCCTCCATATGCAAAATATAAATGGTCTTTTTATAGACAATCCCATTATATATATGCGCGCTGGATCGCATTTCTACATATACGGTCCAGAGAAAGTGTAAAGCATCTATCTTAAAGATAGATGTAAGTTGTATTCCATCTAAAAACAATGAAAACTAACTGTTTAAATGTATTCCTACTAAAATTGTTATTTACAGTTTTTAAAATTTATTTACTTTTTCATATTTCTGATCTCCAAGTTACAGATTACATGTCCTTAAAAAATAAGTCGTAAAATCCATCTTAAAAATAGATTTATTAAGAAGCCCACATTTCTACATAGTTAGTAGTTTAGGAAATCTTTTTTCATATATATATGAAAATGATCTGGTCAATATCCCGCTCATACATATATAGATAGAGAGAGAGAAAAAAAAGTTTAGAGCTGTTCTAGTGAGATATAGAGAGAAAAAATGTTCTATTATGGTAAGATCCAGAGAGAGGGAGAGAGAACATTCTAGTAAGAGAGGGATTTCTGGCAAGGTGTTGAACTCTTCTCTCTCCATGTGCCCAACTCCTCCAACCCCTTGACGAACCTTGACAGAGAGATAGGAACCTCTAGCCATGATAGAGAGATAGGAACCTCTAGCCATGTGCTCATGCCTTTTGCTCTGGGCACATTGTTTCTCTTTCTCTTCTTTTTTTTTTTTTATTTTTTTTATTTTTCATCATGGGTACTATTCCGGCAAGTCCGTTTGGACTCATCAGAGTAACTTAGCTAGGATCCAGGCCGGGTACCTAATCCCAACCAAGCACCGAAATACTGAACTACACTTATAATTTGAAATATTTAATATTTGACCTACAATATTTTATCTAATTTAAATTTCCTATTTTTCTTTTGATCAAATTCCAAATAGCCATAAAATCATAGGTCAAAAATAGGTGTTGAAACTTATTAAAAGACACCTAGGTATTAAATAGTTCAAATGTTGGGCATATATTGATAAATTTCCCAATAATGTCTAAGCCATGTAGAGATTTACAAGACGTACGACCTCCTATTTTCTCAAATAACAATTCCATTTTGGGTAAAGTTTAATAAATGGATGTCCAATTTGTAATCATTCCTCTTAAATTCGGTCTCCATTTGTTTATTAAATAATGGACATGGACAGTGGTAAAAAGGGCGGGGCCGTGGTGGTCAATAATGGACATGGACAGTGGTGAAAGGGTTGAAGTTGTAGTGGTAGCAACCCCATACCTAAGTCATTGCATTGTAGGTTTTATTCTCACTGACATCACTTACTTTTTAAAAAAAACTACTTTCAAAAAACCTAATTATTAATCTATTTGAAAAAAAATGGATAGGGGTCATCTTCTGCACTGAATTGAATTACCAACATGGACGGTTATCCTCTGTCAATCATTCTCTCTTCTCAACTGGAAACAACATAATATATATATATATATATATTTTTTTTTTCTTCCTTATAGCAAGCATATAACCCACACGTGTCATGTCAAGACAAAACCTTTGAAATGGCCATCACATGCCCAA